ATGCCCTGGTTGTTCCTTTCCTCCTTGGATCAATCTCAATCATCAGATAACTGAAGCTGAGCCTGGCTCATGCCAAAGGCTCCCATCACTCGATTGCCCATCTTAATAAACTGCTGCCTACGTTCACACCAATTGTATCTTGCCTGCCTTGTGGGGACAGGAGGGTGTCATGGTGGAAGAAAAGGAGAATATCCAGAGTCTCCTGGAGTTGCTGCCAACAGAAAAGGCGAGTCACAGCAGCAGCACGGGGTGTTGGGAGAGCTGAACTCAGATTTAGGTCAGAAAAGCAAAAACTCCTAATACAAATGGGAACAGGTTGGTATTATTGCTAATATTCAGGGGTGCTTTGCCCTACACACAGAAAGCCTGTGAGCTTTGCAGGCATTAATTAGATCTAGAGAGAGAACAACAACAGACCTGCTTCTGTCTGCAAAGATAGTTCACATGAAATTAGGGGGATAGGTAAGCATGGCTGTGTCTAAAGGCAGGGTGAGAATAAGTCTGGAAACCCTTGTGAATAAAGGAACAAAGCTGTTACCACCGCAGTTCAGTGAAGTATTTGCACATGTCTTTAATACTGACAATTCCCCATGTCACCTGCCAAGAATAAAACAAACATCACACCAAGACCGTCCAAGTCTTAAGAAAATATTGAGCCCAACACACCCAGCTGTGACAAACTCATATGGCAGCAACAGCCGTGGCTGAATCAGGGGCTAAAGCTTCACAGCTGGTAGCCTTTAGGTTGTCTTGGGTTTGCTGCAGAGTGAAACTGCTGGTTACGAGATGGAATCACCCTTCTGTCTCCCAGGACCTCATTTGCTGAGAAAAAATACATGTCTGACTGAGACACAAAGGTAAACCCAAAGTACATTGCCTCCAACAGCAACGTAATGAACATAAAACTCTGATGGGGATAGGAGGGACTCCAAAGCCCATTCATTCCCTTAATCTAAAAAAAAAAAATGTTCAGGAAGAAATTGCCAATGCATCTCAGCCATTTGGAAATACTCCAATCACTTTCCAAATGTCTGCAGACCATCAGTTCAATTCTGAAGCATTTTGAAGCATAGCTAACTCAGCTAATTGAAGCAAATTCCTCTCTCCATCTTTCCCTTTTCATCTTCCCAGCAAGGTGAGACCCAACTGACATTAACAGTAGCAGCACTGAGTAGTTCAGTGCATCTCGCAGTGGTATGGCAGTGTGAGGTCCCTATTAGCTGAACTCCCAAGGAATGGAAGCTTTGTCTAGATTATTCAAGTGATGGCCTTTTCAGTCCCACTGTACATCCAAGATGTGCTGGGGAAAGTCAGAAAAATGGGTGATTTCAGTATGTATAAAAAGAAAGCCTGAAAATGCATCCCCTTGTTAACAAGGATGCAATGGAACCGATTCTAGTGTCATCTGCACCAATTTTAGATTGGGGTCCCCTTTTGATTCCACTGGGGCTATGCCAAGGTGGCATCTGTGCAAGGGAAAGGAAACCCCAACCTGAAGTCATGCAAGGCAACTGGACAATCCCACAGAGACTGCTAAATCTCAAGTAGTTTATTTTTTTCAAACATCCCATTCCTTAGCTGACAGCCATGCAGGGAACACAGTGCTTGGAAATGTCAAAATAACATTTCTGCTGAGACTGAGGTCTCAACAAGACCCTGAATTTCAACGGCCCTGAATATGGATTAAAAAGGTTCCAACATTGGATCTGGACTGCACAGCTCTGACCGTGCCCCTGTTTCTGTTCCAGGAACGGGCATTATTCTAACTCCATCCTTGTTCTTAAGTTTCCTGCACGGTTAAGGCAGTTGCGGGATGGAAGTGAAGTGCTGACAGGCAAAGGCCCATACTGCAATTTGGGAAGCGGGAGAACGTCTGAGACCCTTCATTTGTTATTGTATAAGAAAAATTGGGTCGCAGGCAAAACTAAGCTTGTGGGTTTGAAATAAGAAAAAACAAAGAGCCTGCTGGGATTGATAAAGGTTTTGGTCTGTGTGTTTTCTTTAAGCTCTGTTCTTGAATCTGTACCAAAGCACTGACAGTAAAGCCCTTCATGATGCAGGCATCTGATACATCCTTAAGAAAAATCCCAAGAGTGGGATGGGGAGAGAGCTTTTCAAAAGTCGCATTATCAAAAGAAATAAAACAACAATCACACAGGTATTTTAAGTTACAGCTTAAAAATAATGTACGTAACCCCATTGAACTGAGTCTCCCATACATACCAAGAGGAGAGAGTAAATGAAAAAAAAAAAACGAGAACAAAAATGAAAACGTTAAGTGCCCTGGAATCCTGTTTCTATAACTCTGGTCAAGGGGGACTTTTGACTGTACTGACAAACCACAGCTCTTGAACACCGGGAGTTTGTTTTGCATCATGTCAGCATGCTATTCTCCTTCACCTTGGACTTTCAGAGGGGAAAAAATGAAATTGTGAAAGGGGTTATAGAATTTCAAGCAATCAGGCTTTTAGAAAGGTTCTATTCTGTGACATTTGTGTTTGAGTCTGAATGTGTGTGTATAGCACAAAATTATGAGCTAACATTTGAAAAGACAGCAATCTAAGTAATAAATTTGCAGAATGAAGAGAACTGTACAGAATAATTTCAAAGGCTTACACTTGACAATTATACATATTTTATGAGACGGTTATGCACCCTGTGCCTTTTTTAAATTCATTGTTTTATGGATGCCCTATCTCTATTTTAGCAAACAGGATATACTAAACCAATCTAATGGTCTAAAAAGCATCATTTACCACCCAACATAACAATGGCACTGCATAGCTTAGTAACTTTTTTTTTTTCTTTAAACTCCTTCATTAAGCGATTCCTAACATGGCTGAAACCCAAGAATCAAATATTTGCAGTTACAGTATTTGTCGAGTATTTGGCACAGTGGAGTTTATTTGATACACCCTTTTTTGTTTTGCCCTTATTGTTGCTGAATATATAATGCTGTGCATAAACTACACACACACATGTGAAGTCAGTCAAATGGAAGCAGTTTGATACCCCACACCCATGTTTCAATGCCTAGATACGAGAAAAGTCTGCTAAAAAGGTGTTGAACATGAGTAGAAAGTTATCAACCCTCTGTAATCGTGCCAGCTCTGAGGTGTCCACTGCCAGCAATGGACAAGGACCTGGGGACGATCAGCCCCTCCACCAGCTGCATGGAAGTGACGTCCAGCATTCGGTTCAATGTGCCAGGTTACTTCTCTAAACATCTGCAAGTTCACAACAGCTTCAAATGCAAACAAAGGAGCTTTTTGATTATGATGCTAACCCTTAAAACCCTTCTGACATTTAGTCCACTGGAAATGGGTCTGGTTCCTGGAGAAAATTCATCAAACGCAACCAATTTGTATTGCTTCCCAGCAGGAAAGTTTTGGAAAAGAAAAATATGCATGCAAAATAAGGCTGACCCAATGCTTCTTGAAATCAGATGAAAGCTTTCTCATAATTTTTGCAGGCTTAAATAAGACTGCATTGCAAAAGCAAAGCCAGACCTGCTCCTGCATGGGTGTCTCTTGAGGATCTGAATGAAAATTTCAGAGGTGATCAATGCTGGCCAGCCCCTGCTCCCATAACCCAGCCTTCCACAGGAACAATATTTGCACATCTAAGGGCAAAACGTGGCCTCCAGGAGGGGAGATTATTTCACCTTCCTCACATGGATTCCACTGAAGTCAGTGGAATTTCTCAGGTGAAAAAAAAGTATCAATTGTGAGGGCTGCAGGATTAAGGTCGGTATCCCTTTCATCTTGTACACACGCGCACGCGCACTTACTTTAAAGAAAACATCCACCACACAACTTCTAGATTGCAAATTATATATATATCTTTAAAAACTGGAGAGAACATCAACAGCCTCTCCATATATATATATGTATTCACTGAGTCACATAGAGTATGAAAAAACTATATTATGTAAATCATCATATTATCTATAATTCTCCAACTGACAATTGTTTTTATAGAGACACAGTGCATTTGTTCTTTTTTTTAAAAAATGTATTATGTGTCTTCATTGGCTTGGTAGCGTATTAGAATGAAGGCGTATGGATAAAAAACCGCAGAGGATTAAACAAACCCCTTCAGTCACATTACGTTTGGGTGAATTAAACAGGATCCTTCCCCAAACGAGCATAAATAAATCCTCCCTATGGAAAAGTGTCAGCGATTTAAGGGTTAACATAGATTTGAAAATAATTAAAAAAAAATCTTATTAGAGGACTACACAGACAAGTATTTAGAATTCGTCTCCCTTTAAAAATGACAGCACGTTTGGCAAGTGTGAGCAAATGTCTTGAACTTTCCTGGGTTTGAGAGATCTGAGCACAGCTATTCACAGACAACCACAAAGCTGCAATCTGCGAATAAGCCTCAGCTGCAAGGGCTGGGATACCTCTGACAGCATTGCTCGCCACCTGGAAGGGTTCCAGCAGCTTTCAAGGTATTTCTCGTGGACTCGTGGCTGGTGACAGGGTGTGACTGGTGGAACAACTCCAGCACCGCTCCCTCTCTGCCGTCGCAGGAGCGCAGCGGGTTTGAACAGCACCCAGACCGGCTAACCCTCAGCCCATGCTGCGGTGCTCCGCGTACCTCTGGGACCCCGTTTGCAACTGCAAATGCCTATTCCAGCATGGCGGTTATCACCTTGCTTTCTCTATGCCTCATGGCCAAGCCTGTCCGTTTGCCGAGCTCTCCGATGAACCTCTGCAGGTGCCCTTCCTGGAAGCTCGTACTGTCATCAAAGGGGCTGGTACCCAGCCACAGCGGCTCCCTGCTTTCTCCACCACCCCACAGGATGTCACAAGTGATCCCACTAGATGATGCTGTTCTCAAGAATCCTGGCTGGGTCTGACTTTGAGAAAAAGACAAAAGTTTCCTGTGTTGCTGTTGTTGTTTTGCAGTTGTGTTTCTTCATTCGTGCTCTCTTCTTGTTTTTATTAAAAAGGACCCTTGTATTATTAATATAGTTCACTCCTCCACAGTCACTATAAAACAGACTCCATATTTTCACACCACTCATGATCTTCAAGGTTATAGATAAATTTTGTCCTATGTGATTGATTTTGGGGCACCGAGTCCCGCCCCAGATTGTCTAGGGTGAGAGTAGAGGCAAAAAACTCACTAGTGCTGAGACCACCTTCGTGGTTCTTGATATATCTTTTATAGTTTTTTCTCAAGCACTGCCAGGTGGTTGTATACAAGATGAATGCAAAAGACTTCAGGGCTATAGCAATACTAACATACAGGTATCTATAGACCACGTTGTCGTACAGCGCGCAGGCTCCTTGCTCGCCACAGAATGTGCTCCAAAACAGACAAGTGGAGTCAATTCCAGCCCCAAAGATCAGTGGAGGTGGGATAAAACCTGTCAAAATAAGAGAGACAAATCATACTTTTATGATCTTTATGATAAAGAGAGATGTGATTGCAGTGAATGGAGAGAGAGGATACTTTATCAAGGTTATCGGTCCCAGCTGCAGCCTGTGATTCTAATTTTTGAAGTTTTAAATCAACCTAAACAAAGTCTGTGGATGAGTTTTTAGTTTGGACTCAACATCTATGGAAGAGATTCGTGCTGATATCAACATGCAGGAAGGATTTTACTCAAGTTTAAGTGGCTTTTATTAAGCTTCTCGTTTGCCTAATGAGACTGAGTGGAGGGATAAATGAAAGAGGAGGAGGACAACCTTGCAGCTTTCCCTCTGTTTAGATATTGGTAATTCTGCACTTTGGGGTGTTCACCTGAAGGATGTCATAGGACTCCAGTTCAGAGCCTGAAATCAGCTGGGGCACTGAGGTCTGGTTTTGGACCTTTCCCTGACACAGAAGAAGGTTTTCTCTGGGTCTAGGGAAAATAAACAACAGCCTCCAATAGATGCCAAAGATTAAATCTGAAAGGAAAGGAAAATTTCAGTGCACCATTAAATGAAATATCACAGCAGGATTCTCCCACAGCCATTGCAGCTAACTACTGATGAGCGTTTCTCAATCATAGTTTGCAGCAGAGCCGCAATCTTCAAGCAAAGTAATCACTCCAATCTCGTTTAACTAATAAAAGCAATGTTTTTCTCCCCTATTTTTCCCCATCCTGCAGGGATATTGTAGAGGTCCCCTGCTTCACATTACCCCAACGGTGGTTAGGACATCCATGTTCCAGCTTTGCTGTCCCCAGCCAGCACACGTGCACCGAGTGTGCAGCACTCAGAAGAAAATGTGGATGTTCTACATATGTAAACCATCTCTCTTCCTTCTGCTATGTTTAGGGGCAGGAGGGTGGGAGTGGATACATCCTGGAAAAAGCCCTGATCAGTAGAATCATTGCTGTAGGTTAAGACAGCAAGCAAAGGAGAGCATCGTAGCTACTGAAGCCAAATAGTGGGTGGGCACCGCCACCCTCAACAGTATGACCCCATTCATAGCTGCTGTGATGCCTCAGACTCTATACATGTGTAGGCAAACAGACACAAGGACTGCAGTTTCTAGACAGAAAAGTATTTAATCTTGGATCCAGTTTCACCATCAACCTGGATTTCCACGCTTTAAAAAAGATACCTTCCTTCAGCTTGTCACGAACAAAATAGTGACATTCATGACATATATCCTAAGACTACAAATAAATTGTCTTCACTGCTCCCTGTAGTAACCAGGAACTCTTTATTTTATTTTGTTGATGACTAGAGTTCTGCAGATTTTGTTTGATCTTCTTTACATGTTAATAAATGAAGGAATTAAGAAAGGCTATACGGGCTGTTGGTACTCATTTTAACCAGTCGTTAATAGGACAAATGTAGTAAATAAAACCCGATGATACAAAAGCAAGACAATCTTTTTGTTAGAAACACTAGTTACAGTCATCACATCTAAAAACCTGGTTATGTTCTGGAAAAAATGTCAGTGCCAGCTCCCTGTTTGTGATTTCAGTGACTGGGAATTCCAGACTGGCCTGGTTCTGCTTCTAAGTTAAAAGATGCTGGATTGGTTGGGTTTTTTTTGAAACCTGTGGACAAGTACGCACTCAACCTGGAATTTAAAAACTCAGCTGAGCTCCTGTCAGAAACAAGCAAAGAGACTGTGCTGCTGAATGCAGTTTGTGTGGCCAGTGCTGCACTGGTGCTGGATGCCACCTAAGGGGGTAACATCCAGACGTGTCAGTGACCGTGGAGCCAAGAGCCACACGCTTTCTGGACTAAGAGAAAACTGCATTTGGGCCATAACTTTGAGGTGTGAGTCCCTACTTGTTACCATGGTGAGAGATGTTGGTACAAAGCTTTGGAGATGTACAGGCTGAACTTCAGAGAGAGCTATCATCCCCATCTGCTGGCTTCAGCTGGCTTTCCAGGTTTTCAAGATAATTTGGCCTGGAAATTGCTCCTCATAAGGAGGACCTGTTTTCATTGAACTCCAAAGCTACACCCATGTGAATGCAGGCACGGATGTGGAAACCTTAAAAAAAAAAAAAAAAAATTTAAAAAACTTTCAGCAACTGGTGAGTGTTTCAGGTCATTTTTACCAGAGTTCAAGAGACTCACAGGAGCGACCTGGTGCCTAGACCCTCAGAAAAAGGAGGTGAGGGGTTGCACTGCAGACTGGAAAGTCCTTATGAGAGAGAAACACCGTGTTTCTGTCCTCTTGGAAGAGAGGCAAACAACATGGACTCAGAGGAAGAACAAAAGGAAGCTCCCTGGTAAGTGGAGACTTTGCTAGGATGCATGGTTAACACCATCCAGAAAGGATGCATCCAGGATCTTACAAGTCTAAAGCTCTTTGTCATTCCAGACATTTCCATTCCAAACCTTTGGCTCCAATGGCATTGCTTTACTCTCTTCTCCGGGAAACTGCAGTAATGCTTTTATACGAGGGCACTGTTAGGCTGCTCTGTCACAGCAGAATTCTTACAGAGTAAGATAATACATCCAGGAGGATACCGGGAGAATTCAGTCGTGTTTCATGTTATTACAGTGAATATTAAAGAGATTCAATCATGTTTTACCTCTTACTACAAACTGTTGCAAAAATTTCTGCTATTTCATTGCAGAAACTGTAGGGCTGTATAAAGAAGCTGCTTCTGTCTTACTGAAATCTATTAGCTACGATTGCACCTCCGGGTCTCATACCTCCTATATTTAATATTCTCCTTTGGTTCAAGAAGCAGCTATAATCACTCTCCTCTTAAGTCAAAGCTTAAAGGTGAACTGAAAAGCTTTTAAAATAAATCAGTAAGGCTATTCTCAAACCTCAGGTTGTTAAGGGCAAGATTTGGATACTCTTGCTCATATTGAAAAGTATCTTTCCTCTTCATTTTCTGTGGGTTATAGCTACATTGCTGATGTGTTTCTGGATGTATTGTCTTATTTCATGGTTATTCCTTAGTGACAGAACAACATATAAAGATTTGAATTTAAATTCTTGCTATGGCTTCTTTATTGGAAGAAAATAAAAGATCTATTCAACTTAAGCACACATGTCTGAGCCTGGTTTTGGAGGAATGCAAGATGCCTCTATCTCAGGAGGTTTCTCTCTTTCAAAAGGAAAAGATAAAGAAAAAATCTCGCCCCTTCAGTACTTTTTCCTTCGCAAACAACAGCTCACAGCCATCCTCCTTGCACGCTTGCCTGCTGACAATCCTCATTCAGCCAGCGAGAGCTGAAGACAGGCCAAGACCTGAGAGCAGCCCCGACAGCTAAAGAAGATGCTGTCTTTGCAAGGCTTGAACCAGAGTTGACCCAAGTCAACCCAAAAGCTTCTCTGACTTCTCAGAGCTCTGGATAAGATCACTTGATGGAGCTTTCTCTGTGACTGCAGCTACTTCACCAAAAGCAATGAAAATCTAATTAGCTTTATCGTAAACTGCTCTGGGACCCCCATGTCCCTTTCAGCTAATGGGGAGTAAGTTGTTAGAAAAAATAAGCAAATAAATGAGGTCACTTATTCAAAATGATGTACAATACTGGGATTTTAGTCTCTTACTTCCTAGCGTCTTTGAAAAGATGACATTTTACTCTCCAGCCCATTCCTTTGAAACTGGGAGGTCAAGCAGGGAAGGTACTGCCCATGCCCAGCTCAAAAAGTAAATTCCACCCTCACAACACACAGAAACCCAGTGCAGGAGATGGACCCACACAATGATGAATTACAGAGGATTTTTCCCTGAATCATGAGATTAATGAGCTGAAATATAGGAGCTTTAAAATAGGAGCCATCTCTTCAAAAGGGGAAAAAACCTCCACCCAGATACAAGAAGCAGGTGAACAACAGCCCAGTGTGTTCCTTTTAATTCATACATGAGAAGCACATACTGGTCCAGATGAACAGCCATTTGCATTTTAATGGGATATTAACCCACAGGAAGATACAAGGACTCAGCCTGTCTCATTTTACTATCTTCCTTTCTGAGACACCTAACGGAAGGGACCAACACACCATGTAACACAGGTCCTATCCCTCAAAGGAGGATGAAAATGCTTATCCCTCTACTTCAGCAATATGCAGTACAGCAGTAATTTTGCAAGCTGCTGACATGTTAATAACAGCTATAGAAGAGTAACTGGTTGCGTGGGATCATGGCAGAAATGGTCATTTCTCATGCAACAGCACATTTTCTTCCATTAGCACAATTCAAATGGCACGAAAAGCGCCTTCAGGAGCCTTGACGTGATCTCCTTCATAGAGAGGGCTCAGATCCCTTTGTGTCAGACCTCACTCATGACAACCACAGTGTTGCATGGAGCAGACATCAACTTTTGCATGTTAAAAATACAGTTTTCCATGAGGAAGGAAAGGATAGGAGAGAAGAACATGAAATTCTTGTACTTACCTAGCAAACGGAGAAGCAGAAAAAGCACCCCCAAAGCGTAAGACTTGAGTTCGGGGCTCACGGTTCTGTAGGGAGGAGGGAGGCAGAGAGTGAAATCGATTCTTGTTGTTCTGCTTTGATTAACACACCCCGTGGACATTCTGTGCTGTCAGCCAGGATGCCACCATCACCTCTTCAAAAAGTCATTAAAGGGGTTTTTCTTCTCCCTTCGCCTGAACTGCCTACAGCCCCAAAAGTAATTGCATCAGTGATAAGTTCAGGAGTTTAGCTAAGTCATTAATAACAACAGCTAATCTTGTCATTGGATGGGGAAAAATTAAATTCCCATCTCAGTAAATCATCATTTATGAGCTCTCCATCACGCTTCCAGGGCTCCAAATGTTGGGAGTTGGTAAAAGAGAAAGCTTTATGTTCTGAGACTTCCCAGACTACAGGGAACAAGAGAGGGAAGGAAGGCTGATGGACCAAAAGGTTCAGTCAGTCTGTTAAATCAAAACTCCCAGTAAGGAAGTGCTCAAGACGACCAGTTTTCCTGGGCGTGTGTTTAGCATATGAATTTTTTTATGCTGGGAAGACAACAGTTGCGCTGCCTTTTGCTACGAACAGAACCCACTCCATTGCATTAGAGTTATCCTTCAAAGGTGCTTTAAAAATAATTCCTGGCTTTCTAATTTGCTTAGCTCAAGGATGCTACTGGCTAAAGTCATCCTCTTGGGGTAGGCTCAGCAAAGCCTTTGGAATTTCAGAAATCATTAATTTGGTCTTAAATCTTATAATAGTATTTTATTTCCCACAGTATATAAAGGCTGGGAAAGCAGGACAGTGATCCCCACATGAATAGATTCAAAGGGGAACTTTAAAGGCCTCCGCTGCCTCTTCCATTAGCTCCTTACAGGGGTTTGTAGTCAGCACTGCTGGTGACTCCCATGGTGGCAGTGGTGGTCCTCTGTATAACTGGAGGGGATTCAGACAATACTGATAAAACAGCCAGATACAGCAACAGGTTTTAAGTAAAAAGATGACCATTCTGATCACCTGCCCTATCTCCACGTTACACAGGCCACGTAACACCATACCAAGATCCCTGCATGAAGCCTGTGACCTCTGGATGAATTTTGAGGCAGACCCCCAGGCTCAATATGAAGCCTTTAAGCCATGAAGTAACTATCCTTCGAAAAATGTTCTAGTGGTTAATAACTTGGCTCAAATAGGGTTCTACAGTTGCATGGGAAATGAAGGAAACAGAAGGAGTATTAAAGTTTATTTATGGAAAAAATAGATCATCACGTGAAATATTCACTGTGGGTTTTTAATTGGTGGTGGTGTCCTTCCATCCACTTTTTTGTATTTAAGACCAAAGTCAATCCCCATACCTTAAGGCAGAGTAAAAGTTGCCACCTGAAGACATCTCCTTTTCTCCCAGACTACAGCAGCGAACAAACAAATTGCCTAGACAAGACACCTAATTTGTAGACATTAATTTTTAATTTAACCATAGGAGCTGTTGATGCCACTTGTCACAGACACGGACACCAGGGACACTCTCTTAGGCCAAAACTTTCTTTTAGCAATCCAAGATGGCAGTTGCAAGAGAGCACGAGGTGCTATATGGTGTAGAGCTCTTCCTCGTACAACTTAGTAGCCACCAGTGATTCTGAGGGAAACACAGTTACTAATTTGGATATGTGAATTGTTTATTTCCTACAGCTGTGAGATGAGTATTTTTAATATTCCCTTCACTTTTCTTATTCCCTTGTATTCTTCTGCTGGCTGGTGACTGGCTTCTCACATTTGAAGTCGACACTAAGGCATCTCCATTCAAGATCCTCCAGGTGCTGGCAGCTCCCGTGAACAAAGAATTCTTCAAACTTCAAATTATTTTTGCCACAATATTCATCATGAGAAATTTGATTTCCCTTTAGCTACTGTAGATGCAAAGAGAGAAACAAACTAGTAGGTGGAATATCTCATTTTGTATCCTGCAGGGAGACATGCCCTCGCAGAGCTGTCCTCTCCAAGATCCACTCAAGAGTGTGTTTCTAAAACAGACTGTATTGATTGAATTTTATTGGAATTTTTCAGGCAGCAGAATGGATCTGCTATTTATGCCTCTGGTTATTATTCTCAGTAAGTGACAGCCCAGACTGATAAGTAATTCTGGATAAATGTGGGCTTAGGTATATATGTATATCATAAGGTGAAGTGTTCCATGCGTCTGGAAATAACACAAGGTCGGTTATTTGAATAAGCTACTTTTGCGCACCTATTCATATTGGCTCAACTCAGAGATGTCCTTCAGGCTTTCAAGTTCCTTCTGTTCTTGGACTTGGTCCAGGGTGAGCGAAGTTAAACTCTAGGCAGGGGGTATTGACCAAAGCTAGCCTTTGCCACACCCTGTCATTTTTCCATGGTTTCTAAGATCTCCAGGCCATCTCTAAAGGTATCTTATTAAGGCACTACATGCTGAGAACACTGGGCTGCAATTCTGCCCCTTTCCTGATATAACCACCTCACTGCTTGGACTGGAAGCTGCACATCTGTTTTTCCCTTCCAGTGCGAATCCCAGCCTTGGTAAGAACAAGCCTACCAGCTTTCTTTGTGGCATCCCTGCAGGGATCTTCTCAGTTTGCAAGCCCAGTCCCTCCTCACTCCCATTTTACCAAAGCTGTACTTGAGCAAGTCCCGTATTCTCTCTAGCAGGCCACTACTGTAGGCACTGAACTCGGTGGGGCCATGCCATGGACAAACTAGGTGTCACCAAGCACCAGTGGCTTAGAGAGAAAATGATGTAATTAGCACCTGAAACAATGGGGCTGAAATTCAGGCAGGACTGCTTGGGCTTTCACATCCCCAACTCCTGCCTGCGTATAAGGGAGTAACGTATGAGAAAGCCTGTGCCCATAGCTCCTCATTTGCTGAGGAGGTTCAAATTCTTTTGAAAATACTAGCAGCTCTTTCAAGGTGTCTCCACCAGGAAGTGCTTAGTCAAAGGAGGATTTTCTGATGGCTCGAGCGGAGGTTCAGTCCAAAGTCATGGACCTGGGGAAAGTCAGTGCACCCTAAAAGGCAGAGGCCAGGCTCTGTGTGGGACCCTCATCTCCCTGCAGCTCCCAGCAGTACCCCATGGTCCCCCCAGCCCTGCTCCCACTGCAAGAGCAGTCCCCAGCAAGCTTATCGCGTCCTCCCGGCAGCGGTCCTACCTGATGAGTATGATGACTGACGGCGTCTGCGCCATGGCCCCAATCATGCTGCAAACGCACATCACGCAGAGGAACGTCAAGAAGGCCTCTTCGCAGCCGGGACTGGGGCATTTGCCGGGAACGACGGTGGCATTTTCGGCAGGGACCGAGGTGAGGCACGAACAGCCACTGAGGTTCTGCAGAGAAGCAGAGGGGTTCAGGAGAAGTGACAGTCACGGTCCCCATCACCTGCCCTCTGTAACGAGGGCTTGCCAACAGCAACTCTGAATCCTCTAATGGACAATTAAGTAACTCCTAAGTGCTTATTTGAGGGGTTTTGGAAAGAATTTCAGAAGCGCGTCAGCTCTGATGCATGCTACCAGCAGGGGAAAGCCATCCCTTGGCTTGTTTCTTTTCTTCTGCTCCTTTCAAGTCTCTCCCATAAATGTCACTGCGACAAAATTATTACCAAGTTACATCCCTTTAGAGGAGAATAAAGAAACGATCTGCGCCTCTGCGACAAGGAAGATCCCCAAATTATGGTTCTAATTACTTTCTTATTTACCTCTGTCCTCTTGGCTGTTGCAATTAAACTGAAGTACATTAAAAGCAGGTAAATCTGCAGCCTGTTCTTGGCTGCGGGTGCGGTGTCTGCTTCCAGCACCCTGAATCCTGGGAAGGAGCCACCCACGATGGGTGCCACGGCTCACCAAGAGCTGAACTATCACAGCTTGGTGGCACAGACACTGCTGGACCCAAGTGCACTACAGGGCTAATAAATGACATCTGGTTCAGAGGGACTTGTGTTGAGCTAAAAGCTGAAGTCTGGCAAGAGAAACTTTATCAATATGTGATCAGAAGGAGGGCGAAACAACTGCATTTTTCTTTGGTGTCTCCAGCAAGTGCAGGATGTGAAAAGAAGCTTTGTTTGCCAGTCATAGATATAGGGATTTTTTTTTTTTTCTTATTTTCTAACTCACCCTCCTGAATTTCTGAGCGGGGGATGTCAATTAAGGAACAGAATACTACTAAGAAATCCCTTAACGAATACAGAACGAAACAATCATAAATGATTCATGGCTTTTCTTCATCAGCCCGCTGGGTTTGCAGGTCACATGTTCGTAAGAGGAGTAACGCCATAAAACACAACATGTTGAAAACCAGCTAAATCTCCTCCCCTTCCCCTCAACCACGTTCAAGCAGAGATTCCTTTGCTTTTCCACTGGGGTCCCCTTAAGACCATACAAAACACACTTTCTGGTTCACTGCCTCCAAAGATAAGGATCCATGGGGACGCTACTCTAGCCCTTCTGACACCAATCTCTTTCTTCTGCATAGGAGTCAAGTGATTTTCTTCCAAGTAAGTGCACGGAGGGCAAGAGAGACCGCAGTGCAGAACTCCAGGAGAGCTGGAGTAGACATGCAGGTGCCTTTCTGGCTGGAAAGCAATAATTAACATAACAAATTCCTGTGCTGTGTGTTAGAAGCTGCCACCTGAAGGCTTTGAGATGGTGACAATTAGCACCACTGCAGTGGTGTTTGCACAGAGACAACAGGAATTGTAGTTCCTGGCTCTTACCTCAGTGCATTGCTAGCAACCAGCCTGGACACAGCCCTGTGAATTAAAACCCAGCTAAGTCCAGGAAACTGGACTAAATACCTGCACTGAAATATCCCGGGACAGAATTCCCATCACAGCAAATACGCAGAACTGGCTGCTTGTTTCCCATGGGCTCTCATCAATGAAGAGAAAGTACCTGTTCTGGCAACAGTGAGGCAGATTCTCCTCCCATTGGTGCGATTTTTTACAAACCACAAGACAGGTCCCCACCTCCACTGCCTGAAACTTTGCCCCTCAATCCACTTTTTTGACCATTTTGCACCAAGGTGCTAGCCCAAAGCAGTGTGAGTAGTTTGTACCAACTATATCTACTTGCTTAGCACTGCACCTCATCCTTACCTGGGAGATCTTTGATCTTTTATCACTGATATGCTATACAACTCTCAGACATTAAACAAGGAAACATCAAAGGTGGAGTTTTACCTTTGTCCTGTGGAGAGATAACTTTTTGCTACCAGTGCTAAATTGCTATAGATTCTCTTGTCTGCAACCCCACTGCATTTAACCACACATTATTGCAGCCTTCCACTGCCCAGCAGCTTGCACACCCAGATTTTCTGTGTGCATGTGAAGCTGCACAGATGCAGAGTTTGCACCTTTAACAGCATCCTGAGTTTGGGGTAATTATCTATGCAAATCACCCATGTTTTTAATTTCTCGTTTTTTAAACCCTGGCTCTGACAGAGAAGGGACGGGCTGATACTTCTGTGCAAAGCCATCGGATGCCAGCATGGTAATGCCAGGCTGGAATTCATGTAGCTCCAGCCAAAAGGGGACACTGGGAGAAGCAATGGCATCAAACAAACAAGATGTAGTCAAAGGCTTCGTACACAAGGGTCACTCCCAGCAATGGCTTGAAAGAGAAATTCCTGAGGGTGCCAGAGCTCTGCCTATCTGCACTGATACTCTACGGCTTTTCAGATAGCTGTACCCCTGCAACCAGCTCAGTCAGAGAGAAGAAATGAAGAAGAAAAAACTAACTGAGCTACACATTGCTTTTAGAAATTATTCACAGAGGAAAAGCGGACAGAGGCAGTCAGAAACATCCAACGCAGTAAAGTTAAATAAAGCATTCAGAGAATTTTATGTCCCAGCAAAAAGCAACTCTTGGCTCATCACAAGCACATAACATTCACAAGACCCTTTAGACAGGTCATTACCTGGATTATGGGTTTAAAACCTGGTTTGGCAATTTGGCTTTGCCTCAGGGCCATTGCATGGCCAAACTGGTCCATAATTCTTGATAATGCCCTTTCCAGAGGATGCTATTGCTTCACTAATTTGTGTTCAAAATGTTACTGCAAAAAAACCCCACAAAACAGTGATGAAAAGAAGCCCAAGATGATGATGAAAAGGCAAAATAAGACAGAATGAGTAAGAGGGAGAGTGAGGGAGAGCGAGGTTTTTGCTCAGAGGTTTGCTCTTGCAGAGCTTGAGGTCAGGCAGCTGCAGACTAAAGGGGCAGAGCTGAATTTTCGTTGCTGGGCTTTCTCCAGAGGAGGCAGAGCTTCGCCCTGAACCAGAGTGAGGAGATTGTTCCTGCACTCCAGCCAGACCACACCAGCTGTACTCTTTCTAAGGGCTTGGTGAACTGGTGAGACACCATTCTGTGTGCCCAGTACAAGCTGGCTTCCTGTTAAAATGATTGCGTTGCCTCCCCAGGTGTTGACTTGTCTCTTGTTGGGAGGAGGAGGAGGAGGAGAGAAGATGTTTAAGCAGGCCGACCTCCCAGGTCATCTGGGCTGTGAGGCTGCACGTGCTAGCAGCGTGTTCGCACCTCCACTCCCTGGCACTCGCAGGTGCTTTGTCTCTTCAGGAAGGGAGGTTTGAAGTCTCCCCAAAAAGGAAGGATGAAGCCATGGAGGGATAATTGCATGTGGTGAGCACTGATGTTCCTGCAGCTGTGAATGTCACTGCAACCAGGCTGACCTCCCACAGGCTCCACACAGGCGGCGTGGCAATGGTCACCATGCCTGGCATTGACCCAGGCAGGGTGCAAGGACCACAGGAACCGCACCGGTTCCCACCTACAGGAACGGCAGGCACTCATTTTCAGCATAACCCAGAAGACGTTAGCATTTCATCAGCAAAAAATGGACCAGCAGCTTTTAAGATATTGTTAAAAATACCCCACATCTTCTTTACCCAGAGATGGTTTGGTCTTTAAGAGTTTTCTAAAGAAAATAAACTCTTAGATACAGAGAAATGAAAAATGCAGAATGTCTTTGGACGGAGTCTCTGCTCCCTTGACAACTGCTCTTGCTGCTGCCTCAGAGCAAAGCAGGGAGAGAGAAGCAAGAGGAGTGGAAGGAAAGCTTAAACAAGGGTGAATAAAATCAAGATCTGGTCGTATGTGTCTAGGAACCAGATTCAGGAAAAGAGCAAGAGGAAAAAGAATAAAAGGGACTGGGAAGGGCGAACATGGGCAGGTGGAGAAGTGGGGAGATGGGTAGCTGCAGGAGAAAAGAGAAGCTGGTCCCACAGCCCAGGCTAGCGCTCTCACGGAGTTTCTGGGTTTTGCCAGAGGACAACCCTGCAGATCTCCTCTTGTGTTCCTCTGCTTCTGTGCTGAGGAGAAAGATCAGAGGAGTATGACGATGGGAAACCCCATCCCACTCTGTGGGTCACGCCGGCAGACTGCTGCCGGAGTCAGCAGGCATTTATACAACAGAGCGAAAAATGACAGCGGCTCAGGCCCGTCTGAGGTATGAGGATAGCTTTTCGGTAAATGAGCTACTCTACAAGATACGCACTGACCTCACGCACTCGCACTCACAGAACCATTCCTACAGGCGAGGGGTCCTGGGGAAAGCCCACTCACCGTGCTGCTGCAGCCAGCAAAGCAGGCAGATAAGTATGTGACCCCGTCTGCCCCACAGACTGGAGTGAAGGAATCAGTTTGGCATTCACAGTTGTTATTGCAGGGGGAATATGGGTCCAGAGATGAGGTTGGAGTTGAGCTGTAAAAGAAACAGAAAGAGAAATTATATCAGCCATCAGTGGTATGATATCAGCCAGCTTTTCCAATTGGTGCCACACAAAGATGGCTCTGAAGGGGAGTAGTTAAGGCAAACAAATTACAAGATGCAGTGGGCAAGCTATCTGGGTCTACAGCCTCTTCTTGGGGACAGAAATGCCACGGTCACTAATCCTCTGCAACAGGGAATCAGCTTGGGCTGCTCTGTTACTCCAACAAGAAGCCCCAAGGAAATACTAAGGGATGCTGCAGAGATTGCTCTGTATTCTTCTAGAACAGTAACTGTGAGGTGACGAGAGCCTGAAGTTGTCATCTTCTGAAGAGTCACCACTGCATACTGAGGAGCACCAGAAAAGAAAATGCAGAATAACTCTCTCCAAGTCCTGTGAATGCTACAGGGCTCCATGTGGCTCATTTCTCCCATCAAAATTGGCCTGGAGCCACGCACACTTTCTCCTCACCATATCTGAATTTCCAGGCATCTAAAACCTGGTTCTACCCCTTAGGCACTTAAATAAACGTACAAAGCAGTGCACGTCGCTTACCGCCAGGAGAAACCAGACGGTGGTGTAGACCCAATGCTATGTAGGTGGCCCTGGGTGCAAAATCAGGTCTGGCACCTCTCAATTCAGTTTAACTGAGTAAAATGCCGTTGTCAGCTACAGGTACTCAACTCTCACAGCGATGAGTGGCATGAAAACCTCCCAAAGTAAGAGCCCTGTGCAACACTGCCTTCTATATCCTTGCTTTATAGGGTTGCCTAAGGGCCAGCGCTGCCTGAAGGCGGCTCGTTGAGGACAATAACATGGCATTTATGTTGGTAAGGCTGCGTGAGACCCTGAAACTCTCTGGGGACTCACTTGTTTCCATAGGGAACAGTAACCCCTGCCACAGGTCCTGTGTCGCATCCCAGGAACAGGAAAGACACGTAGCAAGCTGTGGACACCAGGTTCACCAGCATGGCCATCCTGATGGCTCCCAGAGCAGACAGGCTGAGCTTCTTCACCAAGAGGCCACCCAGGAATATGCCCAGACACGCACATGGGATTGCTGTCATCCCTGCAAGAGGAAAAATCAGTTAGCAAGAAGTGTGAGCGAGGCTCAGTGAACCACACTACTACAGCTTTTTACTTTCTAGCAGAGAGATCTGTGTGCTAGCATGGGGGAACCTTGTAATGACCAACTGCTGGAGTAGCACCAAGCTGGGGTTGCCCAAAAAGAAAGGAACGGGTGCAAATGGGTATGCTTGCACAGAGGAACCAGGATCTTCTTCCAGTTCTCGTCCATATTGGAGGGAGATGCCAAAATTGCTGAGATTGGCCCACCCTAACCTAAGCAGCAGCATCTAATACTTCCTGCAAGGCTTGGTAGACAAATAAAGTCCAGAATTTTTTGAGGTGTCTATAGGCTTTGGATGAGGCTGGTATACTTCACAGCAGTCTGATTTTCAGAGATTAGGCAACAGTTGCAATTGAAAATATGAAGTCTCCCTTAAAGAATCTTCTTAAAACTGTGAAATGCAAAATCACTGCCATAAGTGACTCACCTTCCAGGCACAGAAAGGCATTATCACACCAAGCTTGTCTGGGTTCTCTTTTATCCCTTTGCTGCCAGTAATACTTCAGACCTTACCTATCTGGGCTAAGCTTAGCAGTGCATCCAAATCCTGGCATTTCTGGACTCCCATAAATGCCATGTGGGAAATCTGGTAGCAACTTTGTTTAAGTGAATCAAATTGTTGTGAGGAGCACAGATGTAGCAAAGTCTCCTTGCCCACTGCCAGGTCAGAAGCAGGATGTGCTCTGGCTCACGGGTGATTCCCTCTTTGTTGACCATCCGGCTGTACTCACATGCTGATGGGCCAGGCATCTTCCACCAAACTTTGGCCTCAAGTTGCGCCAGGGGAGGTTTAGATATTAGGAAAAATTTATTTCCTGAGAGAGTGGTCAAACATTGGAACAGGCGACTTAGGGAGGTGGTGGAGTCACCATCACTGGAAGTGTTGAAAAAAGTGTTGCTCACTGGACGTGGCACTTCAGGACATGGTTTAGTGGGCATGGTAGTGTGGCATTGATGGTTAGACTTGATGATCTTAAAGGCCTTTTCCAACCTTAATGATTCTGTGACTGTGAAACAGCATAGCGGTTTTCCTTCTCCCGGGGAGTCAACAGTGAAGTTGCTTTCCTTTCCTGAAAATTAAAGGCTTGGCAAGGATGGAAGAGCCCAACACCTTTAAGACCTCTGTCCTTCTGTCAAATCCTATTAAAATTCACCAGTGAGTTCTTGGGCTGCTGGGGGAAGCAAGATTGACAGCAGGGGATTGTTTCTTGTGGAAAACCAGGCCAAAACCAGAAGATATCAATGAGTTCAATGGGAAAATAAGTAACTGTCAGTAGTGCAGTTTGCAAGCTCCTTATTTTGATATTAAGATCCACCCATTTCATGATGTCCCAAGTTTTGACAGATCACTGCCAGCTGCCCATCTGGCGAGCTGTGGTTGCAGACCATCCAAGATCAACTCGCAGATATCTTAATTGGGTGCTGCTGAGAGAATGGCTGTCATAAACAAATCGCTGGGCCTGCTTGGGAATAAGCAGCAGGAGAAAATAAATGAAGACCCTGCCTGTGCATCAGTATCCTGACAGGGAACAAATGAACGTTGAGAAATATATATGGGAAACCATGGCAGAATGGCATGGTCAGAGGGAAGGGGCATTTGAGGGACAACCAAGTTGCACTAGCTCAGCTGTTTGAACTGCTGACTGCAATCCCATCATTTCCAGTCCAAGGGGAAAAGAGGGACTAGCAGGAGAAACTGGGCTTTCTAACCCAAGTGCAGATGGGCTGGAGAATTCTGGCATATTCAAACCATGAGACAAGTAGTTTGATGGGCAGCCGTGTTGCTTGGTGAGCAACTGCAGTCTTGGGCAACTATGACCCAGTTTGGTTGGGATTTCTGCTGTACTTCAGGGCCATCGCAGACTTTCATACCATGGCTGTTATCATACCACTTCTCACGCAATGCACTCAGCTATAGGGGAACTGAATGCAGCGGGCTGCAGTGGAGAGCGCGGTCAAGGAAGAAGGACACTGGAGGTCTGCTCTGGGCTCTGCAGCCAAGGCACAGCTGGAGCCCAGCTCTCCCACTCATGGACATGGTTCTAGATGTTGGGCAAGTCACTTTTTGGGCAGCCTAACCAGTGAGCCCAATTGTGGTTATCAGTGATGCTAAACACTTTGAAATGCCTTTAGATGCTAGAGATTTGGTGGCCCCTGTGGTTACTCACCCAGGAGCTGGTTGGCAGATGAGGTGGTGAGGTTGAACTGCTGCTCTAGGTACTTTCCCAGGAAGGCAGCGAAGCCAGCCACCACTGCGATCTCCATGCAGGCTGCCAGGATGATACAGGTGAAGACGGGATTGGAGAGCAAGTGCTTAGTTACTTTGGGGATCACTAGAAAAGAGGAAAAAGGAAGAGATGTTTTTGTGTAGGCTCAACTTGAGGTGCTGGAGGTGCCTTGCTGCTCTCCTGCAGGACAATGTCACTTCAAATAAGAAACAATTTTCTATTCTGCACAGACAAACTGGTTGAAATGTGGAAACACCAGAACAAAGTGAAATGCCAGAACAGCATCATCTAAAGATTCAGATACCAGGAGGGTGCAAAAAGAAGTCACCTGCCATTATCTTTACATCTTACAGATGACTTTGAAATTTTGAAGGATGAGTGTTTTCCAATGTTGCTTTTATTTCCCCCATAGGGAGGTCAATCAAAGCCTAGTATTCTCTTTCTCCTTTCCCTTTA